TTTTTCTTTATTTTATTCTCTAACCATTTTTTATAATAAATATAAATACACTCTTTTTAAAGGATGCATTTTTAAAATTTTTAATTCCTTTAGTTTTGATGGAGCTGCGTCTAAAACGTCTTTAACTTGCGAATGCCTGTGAATCTGTTTTAATTAACCATGTTGTTTAACCATCAATTAACCATCAACCATATGCTAATCATATCCTCCTCATGACTGAGGTTCTGGAAGGTTCCTCACTCTCTGTCTACAGGTGAAGCTGTTACAGATTTTCTAAGACAACGAGTTCTGCCAGAATGTTTAATTCTTCACTGGTTCTACCTTCTCAGCACATTTTGGGACTTTGTTTGAAAAGATAAAGACTGTGTTATTGTTCCAGAGGCAGCTGCAGCTGCAGCTCCGTAGACTCATCACCTGCTCCTTCAGTAAACTGACAGAACTCCACTCCAGCTCAGGACGTTTGTTCAACAGTTTAACAGTTACAGTTAAATGTCAGCGTCACTTTTATTAGATCACAGAAAAACATTAAACAAACAAGACTAAACTGGCCTGTTGATTGACACTGATCACGAACTGCATGTTTTTCCTACTTTAAAAATATAAATAAAATTTAAAAAAATAATTAGAATACATTTAGAAAATTAATGTTTATAAGTGACTGACAATGTGATCTGATACAGTGTAATTAGAGGAAAACAATTTATTATTATTATTACTACAGGACAGATGGTGTAATTAGAGGAAAAAACATTATTATTATTATTATTACTACAGGACAGATCTATATTAAAACTAAACTAAAACAGAACGATCACGGGTTCTGTTCACCACCACCACATGGACACAAGAATGTCTTACCTTGTAATTTGCTGAGCTCGTCTGTAGGGGGAGGGTGTGAGAGAAAAGACAGAGGCAACGGTCATTCATGCAAAGCAGTGCAAAACCAGCAGGTAGCCAGGAAATAATAAAGTGAGAAATGTGTGTTAAATAAAAGAAAAGAAAAAAAAGCGATGCATTTACCTTCAGAATTTCACATTTTAATTTAATTTAAGTTTTCTATAACTTTCAGTGTATGATCTAGCAATTGTTAAAAAATGTTTTTTTTCTGTTCCTAAAAACGTTTTGAGCACAAACAATAGTTGGATTTCGTCCCTAAAAATAATCAGGTCAAAAACAACGCAGCCCAGTTTTCTGCACAGGCAGCAGAAAACTCTTCAGGTTTCACAGCCTTACGGTGCAGAACTAATAATAATAAAAGCCACGATCGTGAGGCAGATGTCGGCACCGTTACAGTAAAGAGCATCTTCAACATGCACACACACACACGATAGCTGTGTTCTCTCCTGAATGTGCAAAAGGTCCGAACCATCGGCCGCTGCATGCAAGGAGCAGCCGTCTCAGATAGAAACACGGGCAGTGACGCAAAACAAACCTCTGCCAGTAGGGGGTGCACAGTTTGTGTAATGTCCCGCCTTTTGTCACTCACCCAGATATTTGGCCTTCTCCTCCCTGCGCTCCTTGGCCAGCCTCTGCCTCTCCTCTGACTTCATGAGGTCTGAGGAATACAAACAGATCATCAACAAATACTGACGGGTTTTGATTTTTAGTTTTCTCTAAAGACTGGGAAGAAAAAAACTTGCTAATTTCAGTTTGGTTCGTCAAATTGTGACAAACTGAAGGACTGATGTTAGCATTGTCCAGAACAACGACCTCTGTCACGGCACTCTCGGAATGACCAGTAAGACTAACATTCACTTGACTCTACAAAGATACATTTTCACTTATACATTTGGATATATTGCTTGATGTTTATCAATACAGGCTTGCAGCGTTTCTGCACAGTGGTTTAATTTCTATGAAATATATAACAATATATCATATTTTATCATGTACATATATAAAAAATATATACAAATATATAAAAAAATATACAAATATATAAACATTTATTCATATATATTCCATATATACATAGACATATATTCAATACACATAAATACAGTATATATTTACAAACACACAGATATTTAATCCGCATGTCATCACAGATTCTGAGCCAATCTTGATTCAGCACATTTAAAAGACAACCTGCCGCGGCGTTATTGGATTAGACTTCAGGGCTGAGAGCGCGGGCAGCAGCGTTACGTCTATTAAGAAGCATTACCTGACCTCGGGGGAGATCAGCAAACTCCAAAGATCTACATCAGCACCTTCATCAGACCACAGGGCCTCAGGTCCGGTCCAGTAGGACCTGAACCTCCTGTTGGCAGCTCTGAGCGACGCCGTGACAACGGCTGCTCACAGACCTGCGTCTGTACAAAGGTTCCTGATCGTATTAGTGACTTATTAGTGTAATGACTGTGGGAAACACTGGGGGGGGATTGGACTAATGTTTGGTTTAGTCTCTCACACAACACAATGATCACCTTTTCCCCTTCAGACTGAAGGTAAAACCACAGTTTGTGGAGAATTTAACCACAGATGATCTGAAGACAATGATAGAAGCCTTTGCTTTAAAACATCACTGAACTTTATATAAACTATAATATGTAAAAACACTGCAATTGCTTTAAATCTATTCTCATCAAACAAGGGAAGTAAATAATAAAAATCATGGGATTCTCCCCACTGTTGGACAAATAAAGAAGAAATTCATATTGGAAATCAGTTCTGCACCCCTAAAGGGGGACTCGCCCCCTATTTTGGGAGTAAGACAAAGACGAAATATCTTCCAGAACTTCATCTTTGTAGACAAGTTCCACTGCAGTCGCTCTGCTCCAGTCAATGACCGTGTTAATTCCAAATTTAAAACGATGATAATTAGTCAATAAGTGGTGGTTAATAATACACCTGACAACAATCGTCTGGCTTTGTGTAACATCAACTCACCTTATTTTGATTCAATTCAAATCCTATTTTTATTATCTTACATTATGAATGTTGGTGAAAACATTTAACTCAATTTTTCACAACAACCTAAAACATTGGCATAGTAGAACAAATATGATATTCAGTTTAAAAACAACGAGTCCGTTGACAGAACAAGACTTGGTTCAGATCAATAATAATATTTAATCTGAAAACGTGGCCCAACTCTGAAGGAGGACAAAAGACAACACCTCAGAAATCCTTTCTGTTTACCTTGTTTCGACCTGTGAACAGGTGACGCCGGTGTTCCAGGCTGAGAATGAGGCGTGATGTCAGATTTCTTGGGGGTGGTTGGTCTTCGGTCTGCATCCCTCTGAGCTGGAGACTCCATTCTACGATCTGCGTGTGGAGGACTGCTCTCCCCTTCTGGGTCGGGTCTCGTAGGGTTTGTGTTCAGATCTGGTTGAAGAGAAAGATGAGATGAAGAAAAAAAAAACAAGTAACGACAAAAAAAAATGACAGGGTGAAAAGGTAAGGCACGCCAAAGACTGAACTCAAACCAGTTGACCTTCATTCCACTCAGTGCTGGGACTAAGAGTCACCTCAGTGTGGATGACGTAAACCTCCACCAAGGCTGGATAGATGAAGAGTAAAGGGTGGAGGAGGAGGAACAACAACAAAGAAGAAACAGCTAAGATCTTTGCTGAACAATTTTATCTCCAATGCAGAGAAAAAGTCTTGACTTGTATAAGACACTGAACAATTTTATCTAAAATGTTCATGTTGTGTCTAAAACCAGAGAAAAAGTCTTGACTTGTATAAGAACGCAGCGATCTGACGTTCATGAAATGCAAAGAAAATTATAATTAAAAAAAAGCCTTATTAACAAATACTCAGAGATTTGCTGTTTGTTGTGACACAGTTTTAGTCAAACCTACAGCTGACAGAATCTCCTACTTAAACACAAGTTTTCTCAGGCTCTGACAGCCCAACAAAGACCCTCGCGGGAGGACCACTTGGCTTCTTTCCACTCTGCTCTCTAGTGCCCCCCCCCCCCCCCACACACACACACACACCTAACCCACCCACCCACTCCCTGTGGAACCCTGTTGCCACACACTTGTCTTGTGCATAGTATCTGAAGGTAAACACTGGGGCATCGTGCTGTAAATTATCCAAACTTCAGTTCGAGACACTGCAGAACGTAGGGGTCTGGCACACTGAGGGCAGGGGGCGCTGAAGATTTACTCCACTAATGCTGTGCTTTTCAGCCGTTTCAACAAAGCAGAATAAAACTAACGCTGGGTAAGTACTAAGATCCTTGAAACAAGAGTGATTAATACTTCATGCACAGTCTTATGTGTATAAAGTAGTACTTTTGAACCCACAAATACTTCAGTTAAGATAGTAAACTTTATAAACTTAACATTGGTAGAACATCTCTACCACTTTTGTATCTGTTCCTTATTACCAGTCTTTTTTTATTTTTTTAACATGAGCAGAATATGTTGAAGACATTTGCTGCAGAGCAATAGTTTGCATTTAAAAACTATTGGGAGTGTCAGGGATGATGAAACATTCTGTAAAACGTTTAAAAACTGTTGGGAATGTCAGGGATGATGAAACATTCTGTAAAAGTTGGGACAATTTAACAGTTTAATACAGTGGTTCCTAAAATTATTCTTGCAGCACCCCCTTTAATATTATATTTAATGCACTAATATTTCTATTCCTTTGTCCAATTCAGAAAATAAAATTTTGTATTTTCTCACTCTGAGACAA